ATTAGTCAAAACTGACTTGATGGCAATGGTTTGGTTTTAACCATGAACTATTTTCATATATTTATTTGTTATCCATATCTGCCTACTTTGAAAACAGATTTAAGACAGATTACAAAATAGAAAAGATCTCGTCAACAAAACACCCTGAAGAGAAAATGGAAGAGTGTGCACACTGAGATTTACAAATATTCTCAGTCAAGCCAAAAAAGAAAGGTTCCAGGTTTTCAAGCATGCAAGATTAAAATAGCACCATTTGCCCACAAGCATAACCCAGGAGGCAGGAAAGAAGGGGGCAAACACAAGGAATTTACGAAGGAAGTGGAAGAGTGCTACTACACTGTGTGGAACTTCAACAAAGTGATTTTCTAAATGTTTATCGATAATTGAAAGCAACGTTAACTTTATAATTTTCAACTAAACCATAATAAAAAATAAAGCAAAATGACATCCATTACGTATTAATAGAAATAATTTAATATTATCATTCATCTAGAAAATATTGGAAAAAATCTACTTGCTTAGCACCAGGGCTTTTAAATTTTTATCTTTTTATCTTCAGAAAATGAAATGTCTGTGTTTTATGTCTGTCCCGCTTTCACTCGAGGGGATGCCAGAAAGGACATCGGGATCTTTTATTATCTTTTGATTCCGATTTTCAGAAAGTATTAAACCTTTCAGGCTTTCTATGGACGCCTTGTACTTTCTACAGTCCTCAGAACCATCACTCTGTCCCTCCCACCAAGCTCGCTGCCACTCACAAAGCGCAAGCTCCCGTGTTCACTGCTTTGCTGGTGAGCACCTAAATCGTAGCTCATCATCTACTGCAGGTTGGAATTAGAATGCCCAATTACTTGAACTTTTATTGTATAATAACTCATAAGATATTTGTGAAATTGCTTTTCCCTAAGAAGCCTTTACAAAAAATAAGCTTCTTGAAGGCAGGCAGGAGCAATATAATTTGTCAATTTTCTTATTCCCCAAACAGTGGCCTAAAAATATTAAGCTCTCCTCAGAATTCTGCTTTTAATTTTAAAACATGTTTTTAAATGTACTTGTTTTATTAATTTCCAAAGCCAAACAACGAACCACATAAAGATGACTAAAATATGAAGATTTCTTCCTTTCTTTCTCTTTATCTACATATAACTCTCTTAAGACACATTCTGGCCAGAAAATTGACTGTTAAATCGGCACATGTTGAGACATCAAATAAGTCATTCCTCGGCCTATCTTCACTGTGCTCCTAGGCACACTCTGCTCTCTGTTCAGTCTTATAAAATGTATGGGAAGTAACATAAATAAGTCAAAGGAGCTGAGATAGACATAGGTTCTGCTATGTTTCCTACTTTGGAAAGCCTATCCTCGTCTCGCAAAGCTGAACTACGTGTGGATCATTGCAATCGGATTCCCCTTTCTCCTTTCCTCTCCAGCCCCGTCCCCCTTCCCCCTATCTTTCTGGTATTGCTTTTCCCACTCCTGCTCCTGGATTCTGTGTCAGGAGCTCCCATCTCTTATCTAGACCTGTGTACATGCTGCTGTCTAGTTTGAATTGAGAAGCAGCACTGGGGTCATGGTAGTGGGGGGTGAGGAAGCCTCAAGGAACCAGAGGAATATTGTGGGTTTCATCGATGCTTTCCTGAAGAACATCAGAAACCATGGGGGAAGGGAGAGAGCAGTCAGTGTGAGATATGAAAATAATAACAATTTATAATGTATCAAGGGATTATGAGGGTGAGGGTGTAGGAAGGGGCAAAAAAGAGGAGCTGATCCCAAAGGCTCCATAGAAAGTAAACGTCTAGAAAAGAATGAAGGCAACATATGTACAAATTCGCCTGAGGCAAGCAATGTATGGATTGTAACAAGAGTTGGAAGAGTCCCCAATAAAATGATCTTTTAATACAAAAATAAATAAAAGCCTAGCTAAACTTTTTTAAATGAACAAAATAAGGATCCAAAATAGGACTTTGAGAAATTAGGGTATCTATATATCTAGGGTCAAGGGCAACATTTGTGCTGCACTTTTATCCCCGCCTTCTGCTCAGGTGCCCTATCCTGCCTGCTTTTGGACTGCCATTTGGAGTTTGAGTACAGAGACAAGTGATGACTATTGATGCCTCTCTGAATAAAACTACATGCTGCAAACATACAGCCCATCCATCGATGGGCAGGAAGTGGCCTTCTAGGTCCCTGTGTATAAATTGTTCAGTGCATCTGCGTGCTCACTTGAAGCTCATCTGTGCCAGGCCACGCTCCCTGGTCAGATGCTCCTGAGGCAGCCAGCCTGGACACAAGAGGGACAAATGGTACCAGAGGGAAACGTTTTAAACAATTGAGCTACAATTACTCATGCTGTAGGATCATAATAATTCCTAGAATCTCTTAATATTTTAAAAATTTACTGCCTGACTTTTGTTCTGTAAAAATGTTAAACAACAAATATACATCCATGTTGTCTTGGACTAGTTGATATTTTTTCAGTGTGAGAATCTGTACTATTTATGGGTTTTGCACTATAAAACTCTGCAGCCCAGTCACATGGCTTCTTTTTCCTAAGCCATCTGTCACAGAGGTCTGGAATTTTATGTGACTGTTGGTTGTGAAGTCTTAATCCAAAGGTTTTGTTCTGTTTTGTTTTTATGAAAAAAATGCTAGCAACTACATATTTAGCATTTTACTTTACATTGACCATTAAACTTGATTGCTGTAGCTCTGTTTCATTACTATAGTGACATATCAGCAATAAAGCCAAATAAAAATGTGAATGTATTCATAGCTGAGTTTGAGTCAAAAAGTATGGCTTCTAGGTTTTCATTTATACACACACAGATTTATTGCAAACAGAATGCATTTAGATTTGCCTCTGTGATCAGTGGGTGGCTGTAGACAGGATTTCTTAGTAATATGATCATCTTAGAAATAAATGGTTGTTTTTTGTGCCTTGGGAGAAAAATGAGTTTGAGGTCATAGCTGATATCAAATTTTTGACAGAACTTTAGTAGGCATCTTCAAACCACTGAAACTTGGCAACATGTTTTCAGGAATCCTGACCCATATAGAACAATAATTTTTAAATGGATCAAACATCTTAGGGAAGGTTGGAAAAGGCTAATCTTGATATGTTTTCTTGAAGATTCCTGGAAAATCATGGGGGCTGATTAGAAAGATTTTTCAAGAAAAATGAAAAATGCACTGGGAAGGAAAAATCCAGAACATTTGCCCTCTCTTGCCTCAATACACTTTATGTTGTTGTTGCTCCCAAATGCAAAGAAGAGTAAAAGGAATACAATCTGAGAACTCAAAGATGACAAACTTCGGTTTAGACGTGCTGTAAACAGAAAAGCCCGCGTCCCTCAGGAAAAGTCAGAGAAATGAAAGTACTGCCTTCTGATGTTTCTAGACCTACCTGAAGGACATGCCGAGAAACAGTAGCTTCCTGTTTTGATATTTCTGTTCAACAAAGACTTTGATAATGTTTGTAGCAATAATTTTTTACTTACCCCCATATATTGTTATATCATAGACAGAACCTGGCATTGATATAGTTAACATCCTGAATTTTGTAGCTATTTATTAATGCTGGATTAAAAATGGATCTGATATTATACAGATGACATAAGATGTTGTGGTTACTAAATTGTTATCCTAGATAAGCTGTACTATCAAATTCAGAGCTGAACTAGCAAAGGAGATTAAGCTGTTTACTAAAAATGGACAAAAAGATACATCGAAAGCATCTTATGAAAAACCTATTAGAAGTGTATTTACTTCCCACAAACATGATAAAGCATATATATCTCTTAAGCTGGCAGATTGAAAATATGATCTCTTCAGGTGAAACAGTGGAACAGAAAAGCATCTTTATTTTCTACATCAAGTGCTTGGAACTCCCGAACCTGACAAAGTGTGTGCATTCCATGAATGGCAACTGTTCGGAGGGGAGATGTGCGGCAGGCAGTTTAGTGAACTTCCCAAGAACGGGCTACCATAAGCTTTATGGATCCAGCTAACATACTCAAAGACATCTAGAGCTTTGCAGGCAAATGGGAAAAAAGGGTAGAGAAATTTTTGGGAAATTAGCTGTGAATTGATAGAGAATAATGAAAGTTTCAGTAGGAAAACTTATAGTTATTACATGGTGATGTTTGCAGTTTCTGACCTTGTCTAAGCCATACTACAGCACCTGTCACTTGGAATATGGAGGCGACATGAACAATTTGTTAAGACTTGAAGTAAAGGCAGATTGTCTTCTGAATTTTAACTAGCTACAGGTATTCCAAAAGAGGAGTGTCATGAGATAGAATTAGTTTTAAGGCCATATTAAGTTCTGGAAAATAATACCCTTTATCCTAAAGTCATCGCTGCAGAACTTAAACCTAAATTATGATGCTACCTGATAGAGGTTCTGAGAGTGAAGTACAATTTTCACTTTCTGAATTTTTTTCCTCCCATAATCTAATAAAGCTTTCCCACTTCAAGCAGTTTAGGGTAAATCATTGCTTTCATATTGATCTAATATTCCAATAAAATTCCCTTCCAGCTGGTTATTTTTGCATATTTTTTATGTCAGATGACTTGTCATTTGGGAAAGTGGGATTTGGAAGTTTTATTGTGCTTTTTGGGTAAAATGCTTAAAGATGGATTATGAGTGATACTTCTGTGAACTCGAAGAGAAGGCTAAACACAGAACTCTAAAAAGAAAAAAGAAAAGAAAGACATGAAAAATTAAACTGGCTTAGTCAATGCATTTACTTTGTGTTTGGAACATCTTGTTTCTATTAAGCTTACTTTGGTAAACCCAGAAACATGAAGCTTGCTAATGGAGCTGCTCTTGAAAGTTGGCTAAGAATTGAACATTAACCAATGCAAATCAGAAAGCTAGATTTAAAATCAGATATACTAGCATAAAAGCTTGCATTTAAAATTATCCCTTAAAAGCCTCACATGGCTAGGCTGCCACTGTAAACTGCTGAAATGTTTTTCTGTTTCCTATTGTATACCAGGGAGCCGAGATAGAAGTGGATGAAAATGGCACCTTGGACTTAAGCATGAAAAAAAATCGAATCCTGGACAAAGCTGCAGCCCTAACCTCCTCTAACAATTCCATCCCAGTTCCTTCCCCTTCCCCATTCAAAACAAGCAGCCTTCTGGTCAATGCAGCCTTCTACCAGGCTCTCTGTGACCCAGGGGGCTGGGATACTCCTATCAACTATAGCAAAGCCCATGGGAAGACGGAGGAGGAGAAAGAGGTATTTTTCTATGTGCGTCAATTAATAAGTTTAAGACAAAGCATGATTGCAGAGTATTCTTAGACTTTTAGTCCTATTTTTCGACATTTCTATTTATGTAATATGTAGCTCTGTGCCTTGTTTTAGATTTTGGTAAGGTAGATAATTGTGAATTTTAGAAAAAAATTATAAACAAAAGTTCATCATAGTGACCTTTAAAAAGCGTTTTCATTTTGTTGTTGTTGAGAATATAAACAACAAAGTACACACATTCAACAATTTCTACATGTATAATTATGTACAATTCAGTGACATTAAGTTTACTTTCAAAACTGTGCGAGCATTCTCATCCCCCTTTCCTGAATTGTTCCTCCCCCATTAATAGTGACTTTTAACCCTGTGAGGGTTGCATTTGTGTACAATGCAAGGGAGAACAACCTCTCTCCTTTCAAAATGCAAAAACCCGCAAGAAAAACTTTGTCACTAAATATGGGAACATTGGCGTGCCAGTTTGTTTTGAACCACCTGTGGTTAAAGATGGAGTAAATTCAAGAATAAGTATCCAAATGGTATCACATTAACTTTCGTGGTTTCATAAAAGGACAGTGTTAGCATACAAATAAAGAGTAACCATCTGAAGCTCTGGACCACGAATGTTGGATGTTTAAGCTATAACCATTCTAAAGGCGATGCATTTGTGTATCTGATTATCTCAGAAATATTTGAGGAATGTCAAATATTTGAGATTGCATTTCACCCTGAAAGCAAATATATGACCGAATACAAATTCCTCTAGCTCTCCCCTCGATAGTTGAGCCATCTGATTGATCTAAGTAGACATGGGCTACTTAGTGTCATTCAAAGAAACCGACAGCCAGAGTGAAGGGCTTAGGCGTCCATCGTCAATAAATCTAACCTTAATTATTATAACAGCAGATCTTTTACTGTTGATCAGAACGATCGCTGTGCTATTATTGTTGATGAATCAGCTATTTGTCTAAATCAGGTTCTCAACCTTGGGTCGCGACCCCCCTTGGAGTCTAACCACCCTTTCACAGGGGTGGCCCGATTCATAACAGTACCAAAATGACAGTTATGAAGTCACAACGAAAATAATTGTATGGTTGGGGGGTTACCACAACATGAGGAACTGTATGAAAGGGTTGCGGCCTTAAGAAGGTTGAGAACACTGATCTAAATCCAGGGGTGGGGGATGAGAACTATTCTTTGTGGAGATTTTCAGCTTTTTAAAGTTCAGAAATTTGGAGAAGAACAATTTCAATCTAGTGCACAATTTCATTTAAAACATCAGTCAAATAGTAGTGTGTGAGGTAATTCCCAGTGAGTTATCACGAGTTCTCCCTTCCTCCCTTCCCTCCTTCATCGCACCTTCACATTGACTAGATAGCAAGATAGGTCCGGGGGTTGTAGCTCTGAGCAGAATATGCCCCACGCCTATGTGTGTGCAGAGCCGAACCAAAAGGCTGGTGTGCAAGTGAAGAAGCTGGTAAGCACAGGGGCACAAGCGGCCACACGGTACAGCCATGAAGGCGTGGGGTGTTCGTGGTGGTGTTCTGCAAGAAATTCACCAGGAATAGTCAGCTTCCTAATCCCCATTCCTCACACAGGCAGCCGAAAGGATGAGGGTAATTGATCCACAGTCTGTGCTTAAATCCTACCCACTAGGAGGGATCATTCATTCTGCTTGACTTCATTAACTCGTTGAAATATCCGTGGATTTTCTGAATAAAAACTTGAAAATCTGAATCACAAAAGAACACCTATTTTAGAATAATCCCTTAGGAACATCACAGATATTTGACCACAGTAAGTGTAGAACGGCCCTCTGCAAAATGTGGGTGGAGCTTACGTGATGGCCGGGAGTTGGCCCACGTGTGCCTTTTCCTGCCACCAGCAACCCACGTCCACTGCAGTTTCAGAGGCGACGGCTGCGCTCGGTGTTCACACCTGGTCTGAACGCCGGAATCAGGAACAAGCAGGGAGTGGGGAGATGGTTCGGAGGCATCATCACCGCGCTGTCAACACTGCTGCTGAGTCCGCCCCACTATATGTAGGTTGGCTTTAGGAAAAGGGGAGGAGGTCCCAACCATTCACAAAAGCTGCTCAATCCCCAGCGAGCCAGTTCCTCGCAGAGCCAAGGTATATTACACCTGGGTCACTGAAGGGACAGATCCGCCCAGAGTGCACTTCATAAAAGCCTCAAGTTCTCTGAAGGACAGTGATTCGCAGCATGATTAAATTGCAACCCTACAATCGGTGACATAGGTGAGGCTCAAAATTCTGACGTGTTTCCGTTTCCAGGGCCTTTTTTTTTTAACTGGGGGCTCGGACAGCTCTTATCACAACCCATACATCCATCCATTGTGTCAAGCACATTTCTACATGTGTTTCCATCATCATTCTCAAAACATTTTCTTTCCACTTGGTATCAGCTCCTCATTTTTCCCCTCCCTCCCCTACCTTCCCTCCCTTATGAACCCTTGATGATTTATAAATTATTACTATTCTTTAATGTCTTACACTGTCCGACATCTCCCTTCACCCACTTTTCTGTTGTCTGTCCTCCAGGGAGGGTGTTATACGTACATCATTGTGATCGGTTCTCCAGGGATTTTTCAATCCCAATACGGAGGCAGACTTAAACTCTCTGTCGTTATCCATGTAGAGAATGAAAGATGAACAAGGCACTCACCAGAAATTTGCTTTGTATTCCTACTCAGTGTCAGACTTAGGATATGATCTTGAGTAGTAATGAAACAAATTTATATCCAATGTCAATATTGTACTTTTTGTATTCTGAAATATTGCTCCCATTTGAGCATCTACTAAGTTTCTCAGGGATTTCTTTGGCTCTATATCTTATCACTCAGGACCCCTGATACTCTAGTGAATTATGGTTTGGGCTGATAACCACAGGTCAGCAATTAGAACCTTTCTCCTGGGGAGAAAGAAAAAGTGGTTTGCAAGCATAAAGATTTATATTCTCAGAAACCCAAGCAAGCAGCCCTACTGTGCCTGGTAGGATCACTGTAAGTGACAACACTCTATTGCTATTGGGTCTCTATTGTTGTGGTTGTTTGGGCTTTCAGATAGCAAAAGATGACATTTCATAGCAGATATTTAAACACTTTAGTTTTAATTTCCAATATACTTTTTTTCATAATTCTAAAAACCATAGGATTCACCTTGATAACTTTATATATAAAACCTACTGTTTAGAGCATGTTTTCATCTGATGCTTATATATTTGTGACAGTGCTTTATTTTCCCAGAAATTTTACCCCCAAATAATTTTTAGTTAATATCATGCTTTTTTGAGAGTGATGTAAGGTTGAACAACATAATCATTTACTGCTGTAATTTTCGATATAAGTCTTCAGGAATATAAACGTTAGAAGCTGTATGGGGTTCAATGTCACTAAAAATAGCAAAGGAACTTTAGAGATGCTAAGTGAATATTTGAACTCAAAGTGTTTACCTGAAGTTTGAGTTGACAAACTTTCATAAGCATAGTGCTGACTGTTGCAGTCATTTGAAAATAAGTGACTCATTGTGTGGGGAAGCTGTTGCTGATGGGAACACAGACCAACGCGTCTGAATCACTGTCACTCCTTCTTCATGCACCGTCTAACCCTTTGTTCTCTGGTCCTCCATATGTGCCCCAGTACTCTAGTCATGCAAAGTATTGAATTTTGAAGATGTTATGCTTGATAAGTATTATTTGGAAAACTGAATTATACTCAGTTCCTCATTAAGGAAATATAAGAGGGATGTCATGAGCAATAAAAATAAATGCAAGGTATCTTTAGACACAAATATCATTATTCATTAACAGAATACAGAGCAAAAAATGCTTGTCAACTTTTTAGAGGAGTAAATCAAGGGTCTGGAAAGAAGAGTTGTTGGTCCTTCCCAAACTCACTGCCATTGAGTTGATTCCAACTCAGAGTGACCCTTAGGCCCTCGAGTCTAGGGCAGGTAGAGCTGCCGCTGTGGTTTACTGAGACTATCACTCTCTCCTTGAGTAGAGAAACTTAATCTTTCTTCCACCCAGCACTAGTGGTTTCGAACTGCTGACCTTGCAGTCAGCGGTCCAGAGCATAACCTTCTATATGGTCTTTGGTCATATGGAAATTAAATCATCTGGGCTTCCCTGAAACAATTTTAAAAGCTGGGGGTGAGGTGCAGTGGGGAGAAGCGGGGCAGGCAAGGAATAAGGATCCCTGGTGGTGTCTAGTAAATAATGAACCAGAAATCTCAACATCAACGGTTCAAATCCATCTATGTTCCCGTAAGGATTTACAGCCTCAGAAACCCTATAGATGGTGACTGTGATTCAGAATCAACTTGATGACAGTGGATAGGCAGAGGGCAAGGATAGATGGAAAATTAAAATATTAGAAATAAAGACATCCAGGACTATTGGGGAAAATTAGAAGAAAAGAGAAAAATGAAGAAATTACAGGTGGAAAAGTGATGTCTTGTGGAGACAACTTGGTCACAGGGATGCCTGAGGGTTGCCGGCTGAAGCTCCAGGAGTGTCAATCTCCAGGTGACTGGATGGCTGTGGTCTTTTTCTTTTTTTAAAGGTCCTATTGTTTCTTTCTTTCTTTTTAAAAAAATCATTTTATTAGGGGCTCATACAGTGCATCACAATCCATACATATATCAGTTGTATAAAGCACATTTGACTATTCATTGCCCTCATTATTCTCAAAACATTCACATAGACTTTTATGGCCCTAAACACTGTTCACTGACAGTGTTTCAAGATGAGTTTGGGCTGTGCCTGCTTCCATACATTCATCCTCCTGTCTCCCAAACACTCCACCACAACATGGACACATACCCTATCATAATTCTTTGTTATCTTGTTCATATGCACAACAGTTGTTTAATTTGGGGGATAATTTCCAGAAAATACTGTCTGTCTCTCTCAAGTAAATAGCCTGGCCAGATGCCCTCTAAAAGGAAAAATTCCTGAATCTGGAAATAAGTCAAAATATCTCAAAAAGGAAAGTGTTCAGAGATTAACCAGGGCTGTCAGTTTCATTCAACTGTCAGTTCTCCAAAGATTTTCAGGGCTTAAAATGTTAAAAGTGCCACATGCTATTATCTGTTATTCATGTTACCATTATGTTCAACTCTTTCCTGAAATCAATATTAACTTCAATCTGTACATTAAAGAAAGTTCATTGAATCCATATACTCTTCAAACACTACATAAATAGAAAACATTCACTCTTAAATAGCCACAGGAATATAATTATAATTTTTAAATGCTAACTTAAGCTGTGCAAAGGAAAAATCTTACAAATACTTATTTATCTTACACATTGCTAATTAAGAATTTTTCCAATATGAAATTATTCTGTAAAAACGAATCTAAGTATTTTTTTTCTATCTATCTAACACACACACACACACCACACACACAAATGCATATATACCCATGAAGAAGCTCTTCAAAATATTCATGGAAAAAAATCCATTATTTTTAAATTCAATTTTTCCATAAAATTTGATTACATATAATGATATATCATTCATAGATACCACACATATATGAATATATATGTACATCCACTGGAATCAATTCGATCCAACTAATAGCATCTCTATAAAGTGTTTTCAAAACTGTAAATTGTTTATGGGCACAGATGGCTTCATCTTTCTCCTGTGGATCACCTGGTAGGAAGCACTGATCCTGTGCTTAGCAGCCTAATGACCAGCTTACAGCACCACCGGGAATTCGTGTGTGTGTGTGCACATACGTGTGTGTGTGCGTATGCTCCCTGGTGGTGTATTGGTGACGCGTTGAGCTGTGATCTACATGGTCAGCTGCTAGGAGCCACCAACAGCTGCGAGGGAGAGAGACTGAGCTTTCTAAATAGTTACAAGCTTGTAAACCCACTGAGGGGTATTATGAATCAGCATTGACTCAGTGGCAGTAAGTTAGATTTTTTTTGTTTTGTATATAGATATTCTTCAAATTTCAGGAACTAGTATATTGAACAAAAGCAAAAGAAAATTATTTCACAGTGCAGTTGCTTACATAGAGCTTTGTTGCTTAAAAGAGTTACAAGCTTAAACAAAACAAAAAAATTTGACTTTCAAATTTACAAAATTACCCTGTTAAAAAATTACTACATATGATAATACCACATAAAATGCCATGTATTCTGAAAGCCTTATTTTGTATTCATTTTCTTCAACCAATAATTTAAACTTTAATAACTGATCATTTCTGTCAAACCCCCCATTTTCCTGCCTTCCAGAATGTATACAATCAATAGAACAACAGTAGTCACTTTTCTAGTTGAACCATAATGTGCAAGCCTTCTTGAACTCCTTTCTCCTTAACTTGCTCACAGAGAAAATAACAAAATGAGCCTTTACTTCATGCCGTTATTGAAAAGAAGTCAGCGTGTCAACATCAAAACAATGACTCCTCTATGTCAAGACAATATTTGATTTAGCATTTATATCTACTTTCCAAGAGCAAAGATATTTATAAATTAAATGAAAAATACTACCCTGGACCATCTAAATAGCCATCATTGAAGTGGATGGTGGTGGTATCAGGTGTAAACTAGGAAGTGTTTCAAAACTTTAAAAAGTTTAAGATAATTTATCTATGTTCATTAGCATTCTTAGAGGCACTATTAAAATAGCATCTCTCTGTATTCTAAAATGAAACTATTATGTAGCTCATGTCTCTTCATTTTTCAATGGTGCAACATTACTTCTACTACTACGTTCCAACATTTATCAGGGAAATGAAATGATATTCTTAATACTTTAACAATATGAAGAATGAAATTGTACTAAACTAGTTTGATTAATTTGATCTTAGTAAATGCTACTTGAGGTAATTTATTACATGGATTTACTAAAGTGTGTGCTTGTATGAAATAATGAGTTTAATTGTCACTCAGGTAATTCATGAAAAAATCATTTGTCTTATGAAGATCAAATATTTAAACTTTTTCTCTGATTGGAAAAATATAAGATTATGTTTTTCCCCGTCATTTTGAATGTAGGCTGACCATTATTAAAATTGTTGTTTTATAACATTTGTATATCCACTTGACTCAATGATGATTTATCTTCGATAATACAGAATAGTTGATTAACTTATTATTATTCATTTGTCACTATTCCCCAAATAATTTGCTTGGTATTTTTAAGAATGAGAGTGGTGTTCTTTTGTTTGTAAGATTAAGTCCGAACAGTATTATTATTACTAGTTATAAAAAGCACAGTGATGAAAGCAAGCAAAATATGTGATTTAGGAATAATAACCTGAGTTTTTTATGCTAATATACCACATGGTAAATAAGTATCTGTAGAGTAGAAGGGGTTCTTTGTTAATATACAGACTGTTATTAAACTTTAAAAAGACTGTGAAACTTGATAATATTCAATAAGAATATCCATTCAATGAGCAAAAGCACTAAAAGATATCACTTTAGAATAAAAAGAGTTCAGAACAAGAGGAAAGGATGAAAGAATAAAAGTAAATATCTGAACAAATCCAAACAAAGCCTAAAAGTTTGACCCCAGTTATTGTGTATTTAGACAAACCATCGAAATCCTAATTATTTGATTATCAGAAAGGATATTCTGCTAACCTAAACTTATTTCATTTCTGTTTTAAGAGATGTGATTTTTTTCAATATTTTTTATATTGTACCAATTGCTGTTACATGGTATATACAAAAGAAACTACTTTATAAGGAAGCACTCATTGAGCAATAAAACTTGATGCATATTATAATATTAAGTTAATTACACAGCTCAAAATGCAGTTATAGGTGTCAAAGTGTGAATGTTTTAAGTGTGACCCCATTAATTATTTCTCATTCTTCACCAATAAAAAGAAGGCCATAACAATTAGGACATGCCTTATATTTCTGATTTATAGCTTTGATTTCATCTCCATTATGAAGATGGTTAAGTTCAAGCCAACTGAGTTATCGTGTTAAAAATTTCAATGAAAACTTAAAACTCTCTCCAATGACTTAAAAATATATTTGTTTTTCAGGGCTTACTAATGCTCTCTTGTGCTTCTATATTTTTTTTCCCCAGAAAGATGCAATGAGTTCCCAAGAGAATTTAGAGGAAAAAAAGTTTACTGGAGACACCTCCATATCGAGTCCGAAAGCCAAACTCCATGCAAGAGATCTTAAGAAGGAACTGATCACGTAAGTGCTATTCAGTGATGCCTGTGAGATCCTGGACTTAAAAGGCTCAGTTTCACAATTCTGGATATTAATACCATGGCTTATAGAATTGACCTTAAATAGGTAATATGTACCTACACCTATTCTCAGAAAAAGGAGTTATTGTTTTTGAAGTGTTTTTTGAAATGCCCTGATGCTGAGAAAACTGAATAATTAGAATTAAACAATCTAGGTTATTAAAACATAATACAGGCTAAGTCAAAAGCTTCTGTTTTAGGTTCCTGTTCTTACACACTCCGGTTTCTTCCAAAGAGGACATGATGGCTGCAGAACCCTCAGTAATGCACTTGACTTAGTCTCCTTTTTTTTAGGATATGTATTATAGCATGTTGAATACAAATCATTTTAAGGTCAAGACTAGTGCCAATTTTGTAACAAACTTCAAATGGACAGCTCTGAAATAATTGAAGCTTTGCAACTAGTTTACAGGAATGCTGCCCCACAGAAAACAACAGTTGTTAGATCAACCAAATATTTTAAGGTAAATCAGAAAGATTTCAAAGAAAAGCCAAGGGGGGTGAAGACTGTCAACCTTAACGCACAAAACAAATGGTAATCAAGTCCAGAAACTGGTGGAAGAAGATCATAGAATTCCTATTGATATGATAGCCACTGAATTGGGGTCTCATAGGATTCAAGCTCTACAATTTTAAGGGAACGTCTTGACTTCAGCAAACAAAGATGTTTTTTACAGAACAGATCACAAAATGGGACAAGTCTGTACTTCTAATGCTGTTTAGAAAGCATAGTCCAATGAAAACTTCCAAGGAATCTTGTGGGCCAGCTTAATTCAAGGCAGAGCAGATAGCTCAGAAGATTCTGGTAACTGGTTTGCGGGAGTAACAAGGTGTAATCTTGATAGATTCTTCTGAAGAACACAGATGATCACCGAGACTTATTAGAAAGAAGTTTAAAACACATATATACATATTCACTTATCCATAATATATGTGTTTATATTACATATATGTTTATATTATATATATATATATTTCACTGAATTGGTGGAAAAGAAAAAGTCCAGAAAGTTGCTCCGAGGATTTTTTCCCCAGCCCTACTGTGCACCTGTTCATTATTCAAGGGTGGTAAGGACTGTCCTACGAGAATTGGAGCTGGGGGCGGGGGGCGGGCAGCAGGGGGTCCTGGCCCCATCTAGTCTACAGTCCCGATCTTGCCCCTTTAGATTTCATTTTGTTCCCTAAACTCAAAGAACAATTCAAAGGACCATAATTTCAGTCCCTTGAGGAATGAAAACTGCCATTTTGATATGGTGGAAATAGAGGAGTTCAGAATTCTTCAGGTTTGATTAAAAAGAAAAAGAAAAAAAAACTGCCAGGGACTAGATTGTGATACATGTCCACTGTGTTGTGTAGATCTCACCAGGAACAGATAGCTCCTTCTTTCTCCGATAAAGCAACAAGTAGGTTTGAGCCAAGGACCTTGCAGTTTACAGTTCAATGCTTACCAGTGCAGCCAGTAATCCTTTAGGTTAGAGAGAAGGTAACACTGCTTTCAGGCATGTATAGACCTGGATGGAGGATATGTAGAGAAATAGTAGATTCATATTTTCTTATTTGTTGTTCAAAAATGGCTCTTATAGTTTTGTAGCAATAGTTTTTGGCTGACCTTCATACAGTGTCTATCAAAGGATAAATGAATAAGCACAACGGGGAACACCCATACAATGGAATATCATTCAGGCAATGGAGTTCTCACCCTGTACAGCATGGATGAACCTTGAAAACGTTATGCTGAGTGAAGTCTACCAACCACAAAAGAACAGATATTGCACGATCCCTCTTGTATTGAATATCTAAAATAAGCAAACACAAAAACACAAAGTGTATTAGTGATGATCAGGAACTGGGGAGTAGAGAAAAAAGGGAGTCATTGTTTAAGGGGCATGGATATTGTTTGGGATGATAAAAACATTTATGAAAAATAGAGTGGTGATGCTAGTGAAACCTAGGAAATGTAATTAATGCCACTGAATTGTACATGAAAAATGGTTACAGTCCTAGTTTTAATCATTTATTTTAGTTTTGTTGTTGAGAATATACATAAAACAACACACTAATCCAACAATTTCTACATACAATTCAGTGACATTAATTACATTCATGGAGCTAAGCAATCATTTTCACCTTTTTTTTTTTTTGGAGTTTTTCTTCCTACATTAAAATAAATCACTGTGTCCTAAATTTCCAATCTAATCTTTCAAATTGTCATGAGCAATGTAATCTCATACATAGATCTTAAAAGGGCAGAGATTTTTAAGGCAAGTGGTCATTAGTAGATAATTTATTGTTTCGTTTTGAGAAGGCTTCAGGGAGTGTGTTTCATTTAAATATAAAAGTTAACTTAGGGCAATAAGTTCAGGGTTCATCTACCCTCTATGACTCCAGAAAGTCCAGATTCCATAAGTTTGAAATTATTTTCTTGTGTGTGTGTGCACGTGTCTATATATCCATGTGTCTATATATCCATGTGTAATTGCACAATTTCTGTGTTTCTTATTTATCTATTAGTTTATTTATTTCTACTCCCCCCTTCTCCTTCCCCTCCCCCTATCTTCTCTGGAATCTTCAAATATTGCTCTTTTAGGTACAAAAATCATATTTCCTGAGCTTTTTCATTTTAAATAGTGGCCGCATCAGTATTTGTCTTTATGAGATTAAGTTTGTTAAGCAGAATATCTTCCAAATATTTCCATGTTATGAAGTGTTTTGACCGTTTCATCGCTGCGTTTTAGGGATGTGTAGTATTCCTTGTATGTGTGTACCAGCGTTTCTTTATGCATTTCTTCACAGATGGGCGTTTCGATTCTTTCCATCTGTTTGCTATTGCACATAGTGCTGAGCAAGACAGGGCTGTGCTTATGCCTATCCATGTTTTGTTCTTTCTTTGGCAAATATGCCAAGTGGAAAGATTGATGGGTCATATGGTACTTACATTCACCTTGAAGTAGGTACCACATTGTTTTCCATGATGGCTGTAAAATTCTGTAATCCTACTATTAGTGTATGAGGGTCCCCCTTTCTCCACATCCTCTCCAGCCATTTTTTGGTTTGTTTTGTGAATTTTGCTATCAGTGCCGGTGTTTTAGGTTGCATTTTTCTTACAGCTAGTGATCACAAGCACTTATTCATATGATTGTTGGTCACCAGGATATCATCTCTGGTGAATTTCCAATGATGTCTTCTGCCCATTTTTAATTGAATTATATAACTATTCAAAGAACTGAAAGCGCCTCCAACAGGATGTACTCCCCAAATAAAATCACTATGACATATTGTAGACAGACTCTCCAATATCACAGAGAAGTGGAGAATCCTGAGAGCAGCTAAAAAAAAAAAAAAGAATAAACTCAGATTTTCAGCAGAAACCATGAAAGGAAGAAGGCTACAAAGTAAGTCTTAATAATTTAAGATATTCAGATATCACAAACCATCTTCTCAGACCACGGTACTATAAAATTTGAAATCAGGAACAGCAAGACCAAGGAGGAAAAAAACACACAAATGCATTGAAACTGAACAGCACCCTGCTTAATAACTACTGGGTAAGTAAATAAATGAGGAATAAATTAAGAAATTACTTGAAATAAACAAGAGCAAAAGTACAACAGCACCTTTGGAATATAGCCAAAGCTGTATAAAACATGAGGGCGTGTTATAGACCAAATGTGCACAGAAGAAAGGTGAGAGAACCAAAATTCATACCCAAAGGAAGCATCTTCAACAATGAGAGCATGAGCAATAAAGTAAAACCAGTCACCGGCAGAAATGAAATATTAAAGATTAGAGCACAAATAAATGAATCTGAAAAGAGGAAAATAACAGAAAAAAACGCACCATGGAAAGATGTTGGTTCTTTGAAAGGATTAACAAAATGGACAAACCACTAATAAATTTTCCAAAAATGGAAATATCAAGAATAAGAAAAAAAATGAGTGACATCATAGCAGAACTAAATGAAAGTAAAACTATAACTGAATGTGATGAAGGGCTGTACTCAAATGAGCTTGTAAACCTAGAAGATATGGACAAATTCCTAAAACTGCATTATTCACCTAAACTAACACAAGCTCATCAAACTCATAAGAAAAGAAGAAATTGATCAGGGCATTAAAAAAATTCCCAATAACTACAGCAAAAGTCCAAGGATAGATGTCTTCATCAGGAAGTTCTGACAAGCTTTCAGAGAAAGGTTGGTGCCAATTCAACATAAAGTATTCCAGAATATGGAAAAGTATGCAAGTTTCTGAATGTATTTTATGAAGTGAGCATAATCCTGAGACCAAAACCAGGCAAAGATATTATCAGAATAGGAAAGTACAGACTGATATTGTTTATGAACATAGATGAAAAAATTTCAACAAAGTTCTAGCCGCTATAATTCAACAAAATTGTTTTCTTTAATTATACTTCATAATAAAATGGGCTTCATATCGGGTAGGCAAGTGGTTTATCTTCAGGCGAAAAAATAGCATGGTATACACACACACACACACAGGATAAGAGCTACATAATTGTATCAATTGATAAAGAAAAGGCATTTGACAAAATCTAACATCTATTCCTGATAAGAATAGGATTAGAATGGGCATTTCTCAACATCATAAAGGCCATATAAACAAAACTAAGGGCCAATATTTCATCAATGGAGAGAAACTGAAGGCATTCCTCGAGAACACACTAGACAAGGATGTCCTTTATCACCACTCCTATTTGATATTGTGCTGAAGTCCCAGCCAGAGATATCAGACAACAACAAAAAATTAAAGGCATCCAAATTAATAAAGAAGTAAAGCTCTATTTGCAGATTCGTAGAGACCCGATAGGGCAGGGTAGGACTGTTCCTGTGAGTTTCTGAGACTAAAACTGTTTACAGGAGTAGAAAGCTCAGTCTTTTTCCTCTGGAGTAAGTGGCAGGTTTGAGCTGTGGACCTTGTGCCTCTC